TATGACTGAATAGTACTCCATTGTGTACAAATATCACATTTTCCTTATTCATTAGTCTGTTGATGGGTGCTTAAGTTACTTCCAAATCTCGACTAAACAGTGCTGCAACAAACGTGGAGTGCAGTAGGATTGCTAGATCATATGGTGGCTCTAGTTTTAGTTTTCTGATGAACCTCCAAACTGTTCTCCACAGTGGCTGTACTAATTTACATTCCCACCAATAGTATACAAGGGTTCCCTTTTCTCCATGTTCTAGCCAGCATTTGTTATTGCCTGTCTTTTGGATACAAACCATTTTAATTGGGATGAGATTATATCTCACTGTAGTTTTTATTTGTATTTCTCTGATGATCAATGATATTAATCTTTTCACCTTTTCATGTGCACCTTTTCATGTAACTATTTGCCGTATGTATGCTTTCTTTTGAAAAATGTCTATTAAAATATTTTGCCTTCTTTTTTGTTGTTGAGATAAAGTATGGTTCTGTTGCCCAAGCTGGATGGCAGTGGCACGACCTCAGCTCACTGCAACCTCTGACTCCTAGGCTCAAGCCATCCTCTCACCTCAGTCTCTCAAGTAGCTGGGATCACAGGTGAGTGCCACCACATCTGGCTAATTTGTGTAGTTTTTGTAGAGACGAGGTTTTGTCATGTTGCCTATGCTGATCTCGAACTCTTGGGTTCAAGTGATCCTTCTGTCTCGGCCTCCCAAAGTGCTGGGATCACCAGTGTGAGCCACTGTGGTCTTTTATTGCCCATTTTTTGGATCAAATCATTAGATTTTTTTTTTTCTATTGAGTGATTTGAGCTCCTTAGATATTTTAGTTTTTAATCCTTGTCAGGTGGGTAGTTTGTAAATATTTTCTCCCACTCTGTGGGTTGTCTCCTTAACTTTGTTGATTGCTTCCTTTGCTGTGCAGAAGCTTTTTAATTTGTTGTGATATCATTTGTCCATTTTTGCCTTGTTTGCCTGTGTTTGTGGGGTATTCAGGAAATTTTTGCACAGACCAATGTCTTGGAGATTTTCCCCAATGTTTTCTTACAGTGATTTCATAGCTTGAGGTCTTAGATTTAAGTCTTCAATCTATTTTGATTTTTTTTTTTTTTTGAGGCAGGGTTTTGCTCTGTTACCCAGCCTGGATTCCAGTGGCATGATCATGGCTAAGGCAATCCTCCTGCCTCAACCTCCCAAGTAGCTGGGACCACAACCACACCACCATACCTGGCTAATTTAAAAAATTATTTATAGAGACAGGGTCTCCCTATGTTGTGCAGATTGGTCTTGAACTCCTGGGCTCAAGTGATCTTCCTGCTCTGGCCTTCTAAAGTGCTGGGATTATGATTTCTGTATATGGTGAGAGAAGGGGGTCAAGTTTCACTCTTCAGCATTTGGATGTCGTTTTCCCAGCACCGTTTATTGAAGTGACTGTCTTTTTCCTAGTATATGTTCTTGGCCCCTTTGTGGAAAATGAGATCACTGTAGGTGTGTGGATTTGTTTCTGGTTTCTGTTCTGTTCCATTGATTTATGTGTTTGTTTTTATGTCCATATCATGCTGTTTTGATAACTATAGCTCTGTAGTATAATTTGAAGTCAGGTAATGTGATTCCTCCAGTTTTCTTTTTTGCTTAAGACAGCTTTGGCTATTCTGGGTCATTTGTCGTTCTATGTAAAAAAATTATATACATATATATATGTATATTTATTTATTTTGAGACAGAGTCTTGCTCTATTGCCTAGGCTTGGAGTGCATTGGCTTACTGCAACCTCCACCTTCTGGGTTCAAGCAGTTCTTGTGACTAAGCATCCAAGGAGCTGGGACTACAGGCATGTACCACCATACTCAGCTAATTTCTTTGTGTGTTTTTAGTAGAGACAGAGTTTCATCATGTTGGCCAGGCTGGTCTTGAATTCCTGACATCAAGCAATCCTCCTGCCTTGGCCTCCCAAAGTGCTGGGATTACTGGTGTGAACCATTATGCCTGGCCAGTTCTACATAAATTTTCGGATTGTTTTTTCTATTTCTGTGAAGAATGTCATTGGCATTTTGGTAGAAAGTGCACCGAATCTGTGGATTGCTTTGGGTAGTATGAACATTTTAACAATATTGATTCTTCCAATCTATGAACATGGAATATCTTACCATTTTTTAGTGTCCTCTTCAATTTCTTTCATCTGCATTTTTTTTTTGAGACAGAGTCTTGCTCTTTCATCAGGCGCCAGGCACCAGGCTGGAGTGCAGTGGCATGATCTCGGCTCACTGCAACCTCCGCCTTCCAGGTTCAAGCAATTCTCCTGTCTCAGCCTCCCAAGTAGCTGGGACTACAGGTATGCGTCACCACGCCCAGCTAATTTTTGTATTTTAGTAGAGTCGGGGTTTCACTATGTTGGCCAGGATGGTCTTGATCTCTTGACCTTGTGATCCGCCCACCTCGGCCTCCCAAAGTACTGGGATTACAGGTGTTAGCCACTGCACCTGGCTCATCTGTGTTTTATGGTTTTCATTACAGAGATCTTTCACTTCTTTGGTTAATTCCTAGGTATTTAATTTGTGGTTATTGTTAATGGGACTATCTTTTTAAATTTCTTTTTCAGATTATTCACTGCTGGCCTACAGAAATCCTGATTTTTGTATGTCTATTTTGTATTCTGCAACTTTACTGAATTTGTCAGTTTTTTTTTGAGATAGGGTCACTCTGTCACCCGGGGTGGAGTGCAGTGGCATGATCTTGGCTGACTGCAACCTCCACCTCGCAGGCCCAAACAATCCTCCCATCGCAGCCTCCCAAGTAGCTGGGACCACAGGTGTACACCACCACATCTGGCCAATTTTTTGTCTTTTTGATAGAGATGGGGTTTCACCCTGTTGCCCAGGCTGGTCTTGAACTCCTGAGCTCAAGCAATCTGCCCACCTCGGCTTCCCAAAGTGCTGGGACTACAGGTGAGTCACTGTGCTTGGCAATTTATCACTTTTTTTTTTTGAGATAGTCTTGCTTTGTTGCGTAGGCTGGAGAGCAGTAGTGCGATCTCGGCTTACTGCAACCTCTGCCTCCTGTGTTCAAGTGATTCTCCTGACCCAGCTTCCTGAGTAGCTGGGATTACAGATGTGTGCCACCATGCCTCGCTAATTTTTGTATTTTTAGTAAAGATGGGGTTTCGCCATGTTGGCCAGGCTGGTTCCGAACTCCTAGTCTCAGGTGATCCATCTGCCTTGGCCTCCCGAAGTGCTGGGATTACAGGTGTAAGCCACCATGCCCAGTGGAATTTATCACTTCTAATAATTTTTTGGTGGACTCTTTAGGTTTTTCCAAATATAAGATCCTATCATCTGCAAGCAAAGATAATTTGACTTCTTCCTTTCCAATTTGGATACCCTTTATTTTATTTTTTGAAACGGAGTCTCACTCTGTCATCCAGGCTGGAGTGCAGTGGCATGATCTCGGCTCACTGCAACCTCCATCTCACGGGTTCAAGCAATTCTCCTGCTTCAGCCTCCTGAGTAGCTGGGACTATAGATGCATGCCACCATGCCAAGCTAATTTTTGTATTTTTAGCAGAGATGGAGTTTCCCCATGTTGGCCAGGCCTCAAACTCCTTACTTCAGATCCACCCACCTTGGCCTTCCAAAATGCTGGGATTACAGGCATGAGCCACTGTGCTCCACAGTACCCTTTATTTCTTTCTCTCGTATGCTGCTGTAGCTAGGACTTCCATTACTATGGTTAGTAACAGTGGTGAAAGTGGGCATCCTTCTCATGTTCCAGATCTTAGAGAAAAGTCTTTCAGTTTTTCTCCATTCAGTATGATACTAGCTGTGGGCTTGTTGGATATGGCTTTTATTATTATCAGGTATGTTCTTTCTACACTGTTTTTAAAGGGTTTTCATTATGAAGGATGTTGAATTTTATCAAACGTTTTTTCAGCATCAATTGAAATGATTATATGGTTTTTGTCCTTCATTCTGTTGATATATCACAATGATTGGTTTGTATATGTTGAAGCATCCTTGCGTGCCAGAGATAAATCTCACTTGGTCATAGTGAATGATCTTTTTAATGTATGGTTGAATTCTTTTTGCTAGTATTTTATTGAGGATTTTCCCATCAATATTCATCAGAGATACTGACCTGTAGTTAATTCCACCTCTTGATGGGAGAAGCATCATGCACATGCAAAGATGGGATTATTGCCAGCATCTTTGGAAACAATCTTTCTTTCTCTCGTTCTCTTCTCTTCTTTTCTTTCATCTCACTCTGTATTGGCACAATCATAGCTCACTGCGGCCTTGACTCACTGCAGCCTCAACCTCCTGGGCTCAAAGGATCCTCCTGCCTCTGTTTGCTGAGTAGCTGGGACCACAGGCACATGCCACCACGCCCAGTTAAATTTTGTATTTTTTGTAACCTTCTGCATGGAAGTCTCCTAAGGCAGATTCAGAAGATCATTAAGTATGTCTTCTAGGTTCTAAGTTATCACGGATGACAGTGCTGCCAAACATTTTGCCAATGCATCACACTGGTTGTTCTTTCCCCAGCCTTCAACAAGTTTCCTCACTGCTCTTCTAACCTCCACTTACAGCCTCCTTGTTGTCTTTCCAGGTTCTGCCTGCTGCCTGGTCCCAACATCAACGCCATGTTTTATATTTTAGTTATGGCAGTATCTCATTTCTAGATTTCAATGATCTAACAGTTATCTACAAAGGGGTGCTTTGTTATATAACAACAGATGCTGCAATCATCTAGCAATCTGGAGAATATAAGATGGCTTCACTCATATGTTGTGGGGCCTTGTTGCTGGCCATGGGGTTACTCTCTATGTGTGATTTCTCATCAGTCAGCAGTGATCTCATTTAACCTTGATATGGTGGTAGGAGTGTTCTACGATAACGAAAGCAGAAGCTCGAAGGACAACTGAGGCCTATGCTTAGGAACTCATATGGTATCACTTCTGTAACATTTTGTCAGTCAAAATAATTCACAAGCCCAGTCAAGAAACAAGAGGTAGTGAAACAGACTCTGTATAAGTAAGGTTCTCCAGAGAAACAGAACTAATAGGATATGAAGATTTATTATTACGAAGAATTTGTTCACATAATTATGGAGCAAAGAAGTCCCACAATCTGCTCTCTGCAAGCTGGAGACCCAGGGAAGCCAGTGGTGTAATTCAGTCTGAGTCTTAAAGGTCTCAGAACCAGGGGAGCTGATGATATAAATCCTAGTACAAGGGCAGGAGAAGATGAGAGGGGATGTTTCGGCTTAAACAGTGAGGCAGGGAAAAAAAAAAGAGAGAGAGAGAGGGGGCAGATTCTTCCTTTCTCCACCTTTTGTTCTATTCTGGTCTTCAATGGATTGGATAATGCCTTTCTATATTGGGAGGACATTATATTTTACTGAATCTACAGATTCAAGTTGATACATTAACTATCACAGACTCCCTCTCTCTTTCTCTCTCTCTCTTTTAAATCCACCCATCTGCACACTAAAGACTCCTTTCCTTGATGGGAAAAGTTGTAACAACTTTATGGCCATATTTAACCTCCCACAGGTAACTACAAACATCTTGAAGTAAATATAATATTCAATAATTTTACGTTGAAAGCAACATAACAAGAACAAGATACAGATGCCCAATATCACCATTTCCATTCAACACATTACTAGAGGTTTAGCCACTGCAATAGGCAAGAAAAAGAAATAAAAGTTATGTAATTAGAAAGAAGGAAATAAAATGGTCATTATTCTCTACATAGCTGGAAACAGAAAGAAAAATGGCTAGACTACTAGAATTAATTAGTTTAATTAATAATTTAGCAAGGACGCTAGCTTGAAGACCAACATACAATAATATACTGTATTTCTATTTTTATACTGAAAACAATTAGAAAATAAAAATTTACATTTAAAATGACATGAAATATTAAATGCCTAGAATAAATCTAACAAAGATGTGTGCAATCTCTACACTTAAAAACTATAAAGCATTATTAAGAGAAATTACAGACACAGAAATTACAAATAAATGGAGAAATATATCATTTTCATGGATTGAGTCAACCCTACAGAATGCTATTATTAGTCTCTTAAGGCTGCTTTAATAAAGTACCACAAATTTTTTTTTTTTAAACGACAGAATTTATTATTTCACTATTCTTGGGGCTAGAAGTCTAAAATTAAAGATCAGTAGGGTCGTCCTTTCTCTGGAACCTATATGGGAGAATCTTTCCTTGCCTCTCCTAGCTTTTAGTGTTATCAACAATCCTTAGCATTCCTTGGCTTGCAAATGCATACTTCAATTTCTGCTTCCATTGTTGCATGGTGTTCTCCCATGTGTATGTCTCCATATCTTCTCCTCTCTTAAGGAAACCAATCATAATGAATTAAGTGCCCACCTTACTTCGATATGGCCTCATCTTAACTAATTACATCTGCAACAATCCTATGTGACTAAATAAGGTCCCATTCTGAGGGTTAGGACTTCAACATATCTTTTTAGGCAACACAGTTCAACACAATGAATAACAAATACCAATTCTCCAAAACAGGCATACCACTTCAGTATAATACTAAAGAAAATCCCAATGGATTCTAAAATTTATAAGGAAAGTTGTGTCACAACTGACAAGCTGATTAAAAAATTTACATCAAGATGCAAAGGACCAAGGAAAGCCAAGACAATCTTGAAGGACATAAGAGGAGGGAGGACTTTTTCTATCATATGCTAAGATTTATTATAAAGCTATTACAGAAATTTAGACAGTATGGTATTTCCACAAGGAGAAACAAAAGGAACAGGCAACATAGTCCTGAAACAAACCCACATATATATATAGACAACTTATACATTTATACATGACAAAGGTGTCAATGCAGAACAGTGGGGTAAAGGACAGTCCTTTTAAAAAATAGTGCTTAATTCATTTAAAATTCACAGGGAAAAGCTGAAATCTGACTTACCTCACACTATATACACAACCCAACTTCAATTGGATTACAGAACTAAATGTGAAAGACTAGTAACATTTCTAGAAATTTTCTTCATTTGGTAGGAAAATATTTCTTACTCTAGAGTGTACAATAAGCACTAAGCACAAAGGTTTTTTTTTTTTTTTCTTTTTTTTTTTGAAGGAGTCCAGCCTGTCACCCAGGCTGGAGTGCAGTGGTGCAACCTTGGCTCACTGCAACCTCCACCTCCCGATTCAAGTGATTCTCCTGACTCAGCCTCCCGAGCAGCTGGGACTATAGGCACATACCACCATGCCCAGCTTTTTTTTTTTTTTTCTAAGGCAGAGTCTTGCTCTGTCACCCAGGCTGCAGTGCAGTGATACCATCTCAGCTCACTGCAACCTCCGCTTCCTGGGTTCAAGCGATTCTCCTGCCTCAGCCTCCCGAGTAGCTAGGATTACAGATGCCCATCACACTCGGCTAATTTTTGTATTTTTAGTAGAAACAGTGTTTCACCATGTTGGCCAGGCTGGTCTCAAACTCCTTCCTGGCCTCAAGGGTTCTGCCTGCCTCAGCCTCCCAAAGTGCTGTGATTATAGGCATGAGCCACTACACCCGGCCACAAAGGTCTTTTAAGTTCATCAGAAGATACCAGTAATAGAGTGATAAGGCTACTGAATGGGAGAAGATATTTGCAATATATACAGTAGTCCTCCCTTATCCATGGGGGATGTGTTCCAAGATGTTCCACGGATGCCTGAAACCTCCAGTAGTATCAAACCCTATATATTCTATATTCTATATATATACATATATATAATGTATATATACCTATGATAAAGTTTAATTTGTAAATGAGGCACAGAAAGAGACTAACAACTAATAATAGAACAATTATAACCATATACTTTAATAAAAGTTGTTTAAAACTTATGAATTAGGTCCAATATGGCGGCGCCCAGTGGCGGTGTGAATTGTGAGGAGTTCGCCAAGTTCCAGGAATTACTCAAGGTGATGAGGACAATTGATGACAGAATAGTACATGAATTAAAACACTACGGTTCCAACAGCTTCCTTTGCAGGGAAAATTGATGCCAGCCAAACCTGTAAACAACTTTATGAGTCTTTGATGGCAGCTCATGCCAGTAGAGACAGAGTCATAAAAAATTGTATAGCCCAAACGTCAGAAGTAGTAAAAAACCTCTGAGAAGAGACAGTAAAGAATTTGGACGATTAACGTTATTAAAGCAACTTAGAGAAGAGCAGACAAAGTTGAAATGGATGCAGTCAGAACTGAATGTTGAAGAAGTAGTAAATGACAGGAGCTGGAAGGTGTTTAATGAACGCTGCCGAATTCACTTCAAGCCTCCAATGAATGAATAAAGAGAGATACTTTTTTTCTTTTTTTTTTTTTTAAAGGATTGGGTCATCTCATAAGAGCTAAGCATGACAGGTATCAACAGGGCGGGCTTCCTAGGATGATTTATGAGCCAACAGTCCAAGACCTTTTGTTGATTTCAGCCCCACTTAGTCAAGACCTCAAATATAAATAATTCTGATAATTATGGACAAATCAACTGCTATTTTATATTGATCCTGTAAAAAAAAAAGTTTTGTAACTATTAAAATAATTTTCTGACAGTGTAAAAAAAAACTTATGAATTATTTGTTACTGGAATTTTCCATTTAATATTTTCAGAATGTGGTTGACTGTGGGTAACTAAACTTCAGAAAGCAAAACCATGTCATCAAACTGAAACTACCTTGTTATATGAAGTTCTGAGAAGTCAGGAAAAACAAATAACAGTCTCATTTCCCGAGCGCCAGTTTCAATTAGGATAATAATGAAATTCCTTCTGCTTTAATCCTTACCAAAAAAAGGTAAACTGAAGTTACCTGATATTAACCAATCAGTTATTTCTCTATTGTTTTGTTTCCTGGTTCTACTTTACAAGGAAAATAACTTATTTATTTATTTTTTGGAAAGTTACTTTGAAATGGACCAATCCGTTTTTTGTTCTTTGTTTCTGCTTTCTCCAGTCCTTCTCTGTTTATAAAACCTACCTCTTCTTCTCAGTTCATTGGAACTGTTGTTCTATTTTACAGAATGAAGTGTTGCCAGATTCTAGAATCACAAATAAAGCTAATTGAGATCTTTAAATTTGCTGTAATTTTGTCCTTTAACACCACCAATGACAAGAATGTTCACAGTGACATTATTCCTAATAGGCACAAATTGGAAACAACTCAAATGTCCATCAATAGTAGATGACTAATATTGTACTATATTCATAAAATGGAATACTATACAGCAATCAAAATGAATGAACAGTCACAAATCATAGATGTATCTGTTAACGTTGAATAAAAAAATAAATCTTCATTTTGGGCAAGTTAATTTTTCATTTATATCTTAGAGATTAAAAAATTATACCTCTTAGGGTTATTGTGAGGATTAAGTGGGATGAGGCATGTGAAGTGCTTAGCAAGCCAAGTAATATTTATTACCATGCTCTCTCAGTAGGCCACTGTTCAGGAACTGGGCACTAAAGAATGCTACAACTTAGCTGGTCGTGGTGGTGGCGCCTGTAAGAGGCTGAGGCAAGAGAATCACTTGAACCCGGAAGGTGGTGGTTGCAGTGAGCCGAGATTGCACCACTGCACCCCAGCCAGGGCAACAGAGTGAGACTCTTGACACACTGACACACACACACACACACACCACACACACACACACACACACACACACACACACACTACAGAACACTTACAGCACCTTCTAACGCCACTGATAATCTTCCTTAAACCCCTTTCTCCACCTAGTCACAATTGAGCCTCGGTCTCTTTAAGAAGTAAATCAAAACTAAGGAAAGAGGAATGCTGGGAAGTTCTCCTCTGCTCAGGTCCTGAGCTTGACGGGAAAAGAGGGCGGAGATCAGGGCTGCGCATGCGCGGTTGGCCGACTGTTGCGTTGTGATGGATCCGGCAGAATTCCAGAAGAGAAAATGATCTTTGTCTAGGCGCAGAGGGCTTGGTTCCTATTACCAAATTCCCTGTCCGGTGCTCCTCCGGTAGCAGGGAGGCGACAGAAGGTGAGCGCTGCCGCACTGGTAGTGGGCGGGACGGCGGGGCTGAGGCCGCGCCACGTGACGAGGCGTTGCGGCGGGGGCGGTGCCAGGTGGGCTACGCGGCTGGGGCGGCTGCGGATTTCGCCTTTGGTACGCGTTGACACGCAGTGGGTAGTCCTCTGCTCTCTGTCGGAGACTACGTTGCCTTGTTAGTCCTTAGTGATAGGAGTGGGAATTCTTGGTGGGAAGTAGAATTTCCGAACGCGTGCGGTTCTTAGAGGAGGAATGCGCGCCCATAGATAGTTGTGACTGGCGAGTGCGCAAAAGTTCTCATCTCTTCTTCGGAACAGGCTTTTCGACCAGTTGTCCGTTTCCGTCCTTGACTATTCGGATAAAGACAACTTTGAAGAGCTTTTTGTTTTAGGTTTAATTTGCCCCGTTTTGTTCTTTGACTCTTAGGGGAAGGGAATTTACTGAATGGCCAGTTGAGTTTCTTTTCCACAGGAGGGCGATTGTGAAGCGGCCCTCAGAGGGGCTTGATGCCCCCCACCTCCCACACGGAGACCATGAAAGAGGCAGGTGATTCACTTTCAGTAGGGGCGTGCCTGTTGTTCGCCTGCAATGAATGGCATCTTGAGCTAAGATGTAGCGTTAGGCCAAGAAATGGGGCCCTTCGGGAGGCTTCCAGTCAAGGTTGAGTTATAGGTCAGGGCAGGGAGGTTGTTGTGCCCCACTTTGAGAAATAAAAGCTGACGTGGGCCTCTAAGTACTGATTCTCATGGGGTCAGAAACTTTCTTGAGTCCATTTTTCTCAGAGTTTGGTAACTTCCTCCCACATCTTGATCTGCTGCTGGTCTGATTCCCTTCAATTACGTTCAACACAGGAAAGACCAGTGCGTGTGTCTTTAAAGATATTAGAGAAGTGGGAGCTGTTGCTGGAAAAGTGTTTTCTTATGTAGCTACTGAAGGAGCAGAAAGCAGGAAGAAAGAAAAAAGTTAGTCATGGCCCCAGAAGAGTTGTTTTTCAAATGCTGAGCTGTGAAACCTCGTGCACTCAACACGAAGTTTTTCATATAGATAAGCTTGAAATAAAGAAAGAATAAACCTGAGTATGTATTTTAGGTGTCCAGCTATCCATTGCCAAGAAGAAATCTATTCGTTTGAGCCTGAGGAACTACTTCACGTAAAAAATTAGAATGAAAGAACCTTTGGATGGTGAATGTGGCAAAGCAGTGGTACCACAGCAGGAGCTTCTGGACAAAATTAAAGAAGAACCAGATAATGCTCAAGTAAGCATTTCATCTTGATTTAATTAAAAAAAAATCCTTCTTTTTAAGATCTGGTGAACTGAAAAATTTTAGTTAGGCAGTTTCTGGTTTGTAAGTTAAAATAACCCAAATGGAGACAGGCTCTCGCTCTGTTGCACAGGCTGTAGTGCAGTGGTACAATCTGCTCAGGTCACTGCAGCCTTCACCTCCTAGGCTCAAGTGATCCTCCCACCTCAGTCTCCTGTGTACTTGGGACCACGGGCACACACGACCACGCTCAGCTACTTTTTTGTATTTTCGGTAGAGACGGGGTCTCGCCATGTTTCTCAGGCTGGTCTCGAACTCCTGAGCTCAAGCAGTCCACCTACCTTGGCCTCCCAAAGTTCTGGGTTACAGGTGTGAGTCACCATGCCTGGCTGGTTTTCTGCTCTTTGAATGAAAGATGTAACTACGTGTTTTTTTTTTTTTGGAAGAAAAGTAATGTATTTACCATTTTTCCATACTTTTCATTTAAAAAAATTCTCTTGAATCTGGTAGTACTTTCCTTTGTTCCGTTAAGAATCTGTGGTCTATGCTAGGCTCTGGGGATCCAGAATTGAGCAAAGTTAGCTTAGTCCCTTTCCTCGTAGAACTTATATGCTAGTAGAAGAGGCAGAGATTACACAAGTATTGGTCAAATAATATGTGTAATTACAGACTATGACAAATGCTCTGGAAGAAAAGCCTAAAATGGGGAATCTGACCTAGTTTTGGTTGTAGTCTGAGGCCTGGGGATGGCTAGGGAAGGCCTCTCTAAGGGAAGGATGTATAAGCTGAATTATGAAGAATGAATTGATTAGGCAAAGGGCATGGTAAAGAGTATTTCAGAAAGAGGAAATTGTGAATGGGAAAGCCCTGAGTTGGAAAGATGCATGGTTCTTTTCAAGACCTGTAGGACCAGTGAGCCTGGAACAGAAAAGGTATGAAAATGGTGATGATGATAGTGATCAAAACAACAACAATAAAAATAGAAGGTATTAGTGTATCAGTATGTAGTATATATTATATCATAATCATGTGACATTATTAACTTAATACTTTTATGTGCTTAAGACTGTGCCAGGCACCATTCTCAACACCATATTGTTATCCCCATTTCACTGATGAGGAAACCAAAACTTAAAAAAGCCAAATAGTTTGCCACAGATCACAGTTAGTAAATAACAAAGACTAGATTCAGATCCAGGTGATCAGACCCCAGAACCTGTGCTATGCTGCTTCTCTATGATAAGACTGTATATATAGTTTGGGGCTGGATTATGCAGGACCTGGTGGACGTTGTTATAAGTTTTGATCTTTACTCTAAGAGCAGTTGATAGCCATTGTAGAGTTTTGTTGTTGTTGTTTTGAGACAGAGTCTTGCTCTGTCACCCAGGCTGGAGTATAATGGCATGATCTTGGCTTACTGCAATCTCTGCCTCCCGAGTTCAAGCAATTCTCTTGCCTCAGCCTCCCTAGTAGCTGGGGTTACAGGTGCGTACCACCAGGCCTGGATAATTTTTGTATTTTTAGTAGAGACGGGGTGTTAACCCTGATGGTCAGGCTAGTGTTGAGCTCCTGACCTGGTGATCCGCCCGCCTCGGCCTCCCAGAGGGAATTACAGGCATGAGCCACCATGCCTGGCGTTTTTTTTGAAGATGGAGTTTTGCTGCAATAGTGTGATCTCCATGGTGTAACTTCCACCTCCCAGGTTCAAGTGATTCTCCTGTCTCACCCTCTCCAGTAGCTGGGATTACAGGTACTCACCACCACGCTCGGCTAATTTTTTGTATTTTTAGTAGAGACGAGGTTACGAGGTTTCACCATGTTGGCCAGGCCGGTCTTGAACTCCTGACCTCAGGTGATCTGCTCATTTTGGCCTCTCAAAGTGCTAGGATTACAGGTGTGAACCACTGTGCCTGGCCAATTGTAGGTTTTAAGTGAGAAAGTAAGATGAAACAGATTTGTGTTTGGAAAGATCATTCTGGTTACCCTATAGGGACACAGAATGGAGAACACAGGAATCAATGTGGAGAGATGAGTTAGTTGTTTTGGCAAGGAACTTTTTTTTCTTGTAGGACAGTTCTTTTGCTTTATACTCTATAGTTATTGACTTTATTGTATAAGGGAAGCAATAATATTTTAAAATAATAAAAAAATTTATTTTTCATAACATCTCACATTTCCTTTTTTTTTTTTTTTTTTTTTTCTTAGATTGGGTCTTGCTTTGTCTGCCCAGGCTGGAGTGCAGTGGTGTGATCTTGGCTCATTGCAATCTCCCCCTCCCAGGTTCAGGTCATTCTCCTGCCTCAGCCTCCTGAGTAGCTGGGATTACAGGTGTGTGCCACCATGCCCGGCTAAGTTTTTGTGTTTTTGGTAGAGATGGGATATCACCATGTTGACCAGATTGGTCTCAAACTCCTGACCTCAAGTGATCCACTCACCTTGGCTTCCCAAAGTGCTGGGATTATAGGTGTTAGCCACTGTGCCCAGCCACAGGCAGTATCACTTCAAGGCAGGGATGTCAGGTTTTGTTTCACTTATGAACTCTACGCCTTTCTACAGTGCTGAGCTGAGGAGTTCTGAGGTAGTTTCTATAAGATGTGGTGTAGGGGATGGTGGCATCCATGCCACTTGTTCCCTCCAGGTGGTAAATTCTAACTCTTTCTCTGCCTAAAGTAACCATTTCTTTGCCAGGGTTTGTGGATTCTAGCTTTTAAATATTTTTTGTATCTGACCCTTCATGTTCTTCTGTTATTTCATTATTTTTCTGTCTTTTTTTGAGACAAGGTCTCACTTTGTTGCCCATACTGGGTTGCGCTGGTGTGATTATGGCCACTGCACTCTAAGCAATCCTCCCACCCCAGCCTCCCAGGTAGCTGACCACAAACATGCTCCACCACATGGAGATAGTTTTTGATATAGATGGAGTCTCCCTATGTTGTCTGGGCTGGTCCTGAACTCCAGCCTCCAGTGATCCTCGTGCCTCGGCCTCCCAACGTGCAGGGATTATAGGCATCAGCCATTGCACTTAAATATTTCATTATTTCTCATTTGAACTTCTGTAATAGTTTCCTGGCTATTCTTCCTTCAGTCACATATCCCATCAAAACACTGTACAGTGATGCCATTGTACTGTGTAGATCTAGTGATATTTCTCTCTTTAAAGACCCTGTTTCCTCCTGTGGGATGAAGCAGGGATCTTTCCGTGTAACATCCAAACTATACATGTTTAGGCCTTTGTTTTCTCTTCAGTGTTATCATTCATTGTTCCCACCTTTTCTAATCTATACTTCTGCCAACTATTTGCAGTTCATTCAACATTATCTTCTAAAACTCTGTTGCATTTTATTTCTTTGCCTTTCTACATGCCATTTCTTATGCCGGTGGAAGAAGAAATAAGCTAGATAGGCTGGCAAAGTTTTGTGCTCTTTTAAGATGAAGTTTATCTGTCACTCACAAGTAGCGTGAACTATTCTCTCTCCTTTTTTTTTTTTTCTGAGATGGAGTCTCGCTCTGTTCCCCAGGCTGGAGTGCAG